AAACCATACCTGGCTACGCCAACCGGCATAAACTCCAACGGCCTGAACACAGCTCAAATTGAAAAAAAACTAACCTAACCTAACCAACCCTCATTAGCGTCTGGCCAGTGAACCTCGATCCCAACTTTTAACGAACGTGTCTTGTATCGTAGGCATCTAATAATAAGAAAATATTCAATAAGAAAATGAAGGAACGACTTCTTGTAAGGGGGCGACTTCGCCGCCACCAGACATTTTTTAAACCATACCTGGCTACGCCGACCGGCATAAACTCCAACGGCCTGGACACAGCTCAAATTGAAAAAAAAAACCTAACCTAACCAACCCTCATTAGCGTCTGGCCAGTGAACCTCGATCCCAACTTTTAACGAACGTGTCTTGTATCGTGGGCATCTAATAATAAGAAAATATACAATAAGAAAACGAAGGAACGAGTTCTTGTAAGGTGGCGGCTTTGCCGCCACCAGAAAATTTTTAAACCATACCTGGCTACGCCGACCGGCATAAACTCCAACGGCCTGGACACAGCTCAAATTGATTTTTTTTTAATATTAGATAAGTACTGACATGCAGTAATTAACGTACAATCATCATGAAATGAAATAAAAAGACGGTTGTCTGTAATTACTACAATTGTTTTCACTTCGAGATCCAAATTTACCTGCTGGCCAGACACTATGTAATTTTTCAGCCAACTTTCACTAACCGAATTATTTCCTGACTTATATGTTTTCTTACTCGATTTGGCAACACCGCATTTATAGAAACTAGACACATCAATTGTCATTATATATAATTTAATGTTTATTTGTTTTTCTAACAAACTAAACATGAAAAATAAGAAAATTTGATCGTTTATGAACAAATTTGGTAGGGTTCATTGCTCTAAGAATGGTCTTATATTGATATTTAGCCGTTTCTTCAAGAATAAATCAGTGAAAATGGTTTATTTCACATTTGTTTTATGATGGAGACCCGACAACAAATTTTAAGGATTTTAAGGTAAAATTTTTTTTTAAATAAGTGTTAGCGGACCCAAAATTGTTATGTATAGTGTGTTTCAAAGTGTCTAGAAACCCTTTATAACATTTCAATAGTTATATCCGCCGTTCGAGTGTCGTCGTATAATACCGATCTTTATTCTTTTCCCTGAATATTGTTAGAAAGCTGGCTAGATGTGGGTGGCCGGCTTCTCCGGAAGGTATGTCTGCTATAATTATTCCTTGTTGGACTTCGTGACGGGCTTCGGGAGGTTGATTTAGGTGAATTTCTAGCATCATTCTCCGATTCTCGATTCATAGAACGAGCCCTGGTTCGACAGGTTCTTTGAAGGTGTCCGATTCTTCCGCAATTAAACCATGAAGCCCTATTCTCGAATGTCTATTAAAAATGTCGGATTCGTCATAATGTCTACTACTAATGTCTATCAAAATGTCGATCGACTGACACTATCCGTATTCTCAAACACAAATAGACATTTTAAAATCGGTGACATATTTGGCGAATGGTAACATCTGACAACATTGGATAGAAACATACAATACGAGTATATTACAGCAGACAATTACTTGAAGAATCTCTTAGTAATACAAAATAATACTAAAAATACATCCAGAATATATATCTTTTTGGTAAATACTAATTAGAAAGTAGAGAAAATATAAATATAATCTTTATAACTGAAATTTCATGAGGGATTAAATAGAAAATTGGAAGTGCAATTTGATAAGAGATTAAATAGAAAGAAGAAGAAATATATTATTGTAATACAATCTAAACAGTACATAAAATGTCTGTGATATAATCTTTTTACCTGCAATTTGAAAAAATAGAGCTATATAAATTACTTTATGACAGGTTTTAAATCTCTTGAACAAACAGGAGCAGTGTCGGATCGGGACTTCCAGTGCCTACCGGTCAGAACGGAGAAGGCCCACCTATCAATATTTTTTCATGGGCCGATTTCTTGAAAAGCAAAAAAAGCCTTCTTTGCACATTGATGCTTTTTTCAAGGGTTATTTCGCATTTCTTATTCTCAAGGGCACACAGACTGAAGTCCATTAACTTAGGCCCACTGAATGAGGCCCACTGATTGAGGCACAGTGCCCGAACGAGGACCCACTGCCCAAACGAGGGCTCACTGCCTGAAAGAGGGCCCACAGCTTGAACGAAGGCCTACCAGTCTTTTGCCTGTAGACCAACGGCCCAATCCGACACTGGACAGGACTAATAATTGATAAATTAGGTGAAATTGTAAATAACCATTTCATATATTTTTAAAAACAATTTGTACAATACTTATTTTCATTTTTCTTATAAATAAATATAAACTGTCACTGTCACGACACTCATATTATATTAAAAAGGCATGCGACATTACAATGTCGACTGGTTGTATACCACTCGACTTTCTGTCTAACAACAAATGTCGAATTCGCCATTCCAGAATACGTTTTTGCGTTCTTATTCGACATTTCATCAATGTCGCGTGTGAGATTTAGAAATAGACATTCGAGAATAGGGCCCCTGGTTCGACAGGTTCTTTGAAGGTGTCCGATTCTTCCGCAATTAAACCATCTTCTACTCTCATTTTGACTATTTCGTTGCACACTTTGCAGAATATTTAAGATTTGTGAGAGAGTAGCTTGAGTGATAGTATTAGTAGTAGCCTTTTAATATCGGCTTCGAATTCTTGTAGACTTACTTTGTTTCTGACTACGAACTTTTATATGGCTTTGGAATAACTGTTTCAAATGCTGCTGGCAATATTCTGTCTCCAAAGCATGGACAAGAGATAGCTAACTGGGTTCTTCTTGGGGAAGTAAGTGTAAAACAGTTGCTGCCTGACCTTGCAGTGACACTATCAATGAAGCCGCCATCTCTTTCTCGGTCCAGGCATTGGTTTTAGCTGCAGCTACAAATTGGAGTCGATATGTTTTCCATGTTGTCTGACCGTCCAACATGGGTGGCTTAATCGTCTTGCTAGTATAGTTTTGTGAAACTGGGATTCGAATGTGGCTTGGTTCGGTTATGGATGAAGACGAGGTAGTATTTTCAGCTCCAACTTTGCCTACTGAAGCTTGGCTATGAATTCTTCTTTTTAACTCTATTTTAGTTCTACTCTGCCTTTCCAAATCTGCTCTAGCCTATTCTTGTTTTAAATTCTCTTGTTGTTGCTCTAAATTAGTTTTTAGATTATTTTGTTGTTCCAAATTAGCTTTTAAATTCTCTTGTTGTTGCTCAAAATTAGTTTTTAGATTCTCTTGTTGCTGGGCTAAGATATCTACTCGACTGTTTAGCTGACCTACCTCTTGCTTGAAATTTTCCTGAACTCGCGCAAGTGTCCTTTTAGTACCAAAGTGCCCTCCTGAACGGCTGCTATGAAGCTCCTTCAACAAACTTCTGACCTGTGATTTCGGCAGTATCACTTGGCGGACTACATGTACTCCATCAGGGCTCTGCCACTTCCGGTGCAATAGTCCATCGTAAAGGTACAGGAAATCCCACTGAGTCTAGTACTCTTTAACGGTTCCACTATATTTGGCTATCTCTTGCCATGTATGCCTGACTACATTTTTAAGCTATTCTCGGACAACCTTCAAGTCATTGTCTTCCTTTTGAGACTTTCTTAGGTTTTCAAGGGTAATTTCGTCTCCGTCGTTCTCTGGCTTGATAGTGGTCGCCTGAAGACTAACTTCTTTAACCTGCTCCTCTCGTTCTTCAAGCCTTTAACAGTACCGGCATTGTCGATCTTAACACGGTCGTCTGGAAAGAATATCTGTGTTGCTATGGAGACGTCCTCTTCGATGCACTATCTCGAAGTTGTATTGTTGCGGTCTTTCTATCCATCTAGCAACTTGTCCTTTAGGTTTTTTAAAATTTTTCAGCCACTGCAAGGCGCTATGGTCACTTCTAATAATAAAACTTCTGTTAAAAAGGTAGGTGTGGAAGTGTTCGAGGGCTTTAACAATGGATAAAAGTTCTTTTCTTGTGACGCAATAATTCGTCTCAGCTTTTTTCTAAGATCTTACTAAAATACGCAATTACAAAATCCCTGACTGGTTCTTGAACAGACAGAAAGATATAATTGATGGTAAATATAGGCTTGATTCGAAACTCCGTGAAGATTTAGAAAGGATGAAGAAGATCCGTGCTCACAGAAATATGAGACATTACTGGGGTCTCTTAGTAAAAGATCAACACACCAAAACTACTGGACGTCGTGGACGTACTGTTGGTGTATCCAAGAAGAAGTAAACTAATAATTGTAAGTGAATACAAAAAATAAAAACTGGCGTAAGAATCCCTGCTTATATAGCTTGCTTTAACCTTATCGAACATTCCTAAACTATCTTGACTTTTCCTTGACGTGCAATGACATTTCCAGACATTTCTGGACTATTCTATCTTCTTTTACTAGTACTTTTACTTCTGACAACCGCAGCACACTGTAGGGCGATGAGTTATATTGCACTTCTTTTTTTGTATTCGTACGTTTCCTATAACAGCCGCAGGCTACTGCAGGGTGCTGCGTAACAATATCTTTAGATCGCAGTATATTAATACCCCAAACCCATAAGTAACATAACGGTATGTGTGTTACTGCAGTTTCTATACATGTCAGGTAATCGGGAGTATTTTCGGTTGTACATCGTATTAAAACTTAGTTTGATTATATTGTCTGTAATTCTAAATGAATATTAATGTATGTATAAAAGACAACAAAAATATGTATTTTATTTAATATCTTATTTTAATTTTATTTGTTGCACTAGTGTCACTTTTTTATTTTTTTGTGCTAATCGGTTTATTAATAGAATTACTTTCTGACCAAGACAAATTCCTAAATATACCGCCAACACAATAAATTAAGCTACAACCCTTTCTCCAATAATCTTACTGTATCAACTTTCCTTCGATATAAACAGGTATTTCAACATTGCATAAAAATTCAAAATATACACAAACAAACTTGATAAACAAATATTCTGCTCGCCTTACCACTACCAACGAGATGATTCCTTGAACTTGTTCTTGATCGTCAATAGAACGCCATATTGGAAATCCCATTTTAGTACCAATAAAAGATTCCAAGATCAAAAGCGTGCAAGGTTTAAACGTTTACGTTAGGTTAGTGCGATTGACTTATCTAATAGTTTAAAGTTTAACATTTAACATAATTTTTAAACATAAACATTGTTTTAACATATACGCTTTTTAAATATACCTAGTTTAGCAATGAATTATAAACTGTTTATCCTGGTTTTTGTTTTTAATATCGTTGCTTCAAGTGATGGAAAACCTAATGAATTCACATCTACTGTATTAAGTAGTAATAGTAATAAAAAGAATGCAAATTGGTTTAAATTTGGCGAGAAAACTTATTATGTCGGACACTGTTTTTAAGGTAAGTAAAGAATTTTTTTATATTATAAGCATAAACTGCAATAGGTTATTCAAGTGGCACACAAGTTGAATTAAAAAATTATTGTTTTTTGAAACCAAACAATTCATTGTTAACGCAAAAATGCATTATTTTAAAATTATTATTTAATATCGAGAAATCGCAAATTGAAATCCTAAAAATAAGTGGCTGAAATAATTTGAAAATTTAGAAACAAATTTTGGGGGAATAAATATCTAATCGCACCTTTGTAAACAATACCTACTTTTTTATTTTTTCCTTATGGTCTCCAGTTTTTTATTTTTACAGCTTTTTTACTATTCAGTTGTTTTTGTGACTGTTAGATTTTGCTCTTCAGCTGGTCATCTACGCCCAGATATATAAGCACAAGGCGCAACTTCATTTAACATCTTTTCAGATTCAGTTTTAGGCATATTTATTTTTCAATAATGTCAAACACATTTTTATTAAGCATTCTAACGATAGAGTTATTCCTGTAGAATATGTATATAATTAATGTCTAGAATAAAATCTATAGATTATTATCTACTGCTTAATCTTTAGTTATGGTCAAGTGACACCTCATAATAAGGGTCTTGTCATTCCCTATACAACGCTGCTAAGTTTTTGAAAATCGAGCCACTCGTTTAGATAATTTAGGGAGCCTTGTATAATGTTAAACAATAATGTGTATACGGATAATGCAGATATGCGAGTTAGCTATATTGTAACATGATGTAAAATGTTTCTGGTCTTTTTACCGGATTAAGTACTCACGTTATTGTATCTCGAACTAACTTATAACAAGGTTGTTAGGACTCCCTGTGATTGGGAGCCGCTGATGTGTATCATGTGGACGAGGGCTGACAGGAAGTAGTAAGGTTATGATGGACTGGATTATGACTTGGTCTGCATAGAGAGGTTGGGAGGGGATCGGTGTGCTGTTGGTATCTTGCGTGGGACGTTCAGTGGTGGGTGGTGGGTCGATTCTTTTGTTTGGGGAATGATGTGATTTGGGAAGACGCAGAGACGCGAAGAAGACGACAGAAGAGAAGACAGAAGAAGAAGAAGAAGACGACGGAAGAAGAAGAAGAAGAAGAAGCAAGAAGACGAAGACGAAGAAGAAGAAGAAGAAGAAGAAGAAGAAGAAAGAAGCAAGAAGAAGCAAGAAGAAGAAGACCGAAGAGAAGAAGAAGAAGACGAAGAAGAAGAAGAAGAAGAAGAAGAAGAAGAAGCAGAAGAAGAAGACGAAGCAGAAGAAGACGAAGACAGCAGAAGAAGAAGAAGAAGAAGAAGAAGAAGCAAGCGAAGAAGAAGAAGAGACGAAGAAGAAGAAGAAGAAGAAGAAGACGAAGAAGAAGAAGAAGAAGAAGAAGAAGACAGCACGAAAGACAGAAGAAGAAGAAGATAGAAGAAGAAGAAGAGAAGAAGAAGAAGAAGAAGACAGCAAGCAGAAGCAAGAAGAAGAAGAAGACGAAAGAAGAAGAAGAAAGACGAAGAAGAAGCGAAAGAAGACAGAAAGAAGCAAGACGAAGAAGAAGAAGACAGAAGAAGAAGAAGAAGAAGAGAAGAAGAAGAAGAAGAAGAAGACGAAGAAGCAAGAAGAAGAAGAAAGAAGAAGAAGACAGAAGCGACGAAGACGACGAAGAAGACGAAGAAGCAAGAAGAAGACGAAGAACGACGAAGAAAGACGAGAAGAACGAAGCAGACGACGCCGACAGCAACGCAGCAAGACGCCCAAGCAGCCGCGCAAGACGACGAAGCCTCCTCCTCCTCCTCCTCCTCCTCCTCCTCCTCCTCCTCCTCCTCTCCTCCTCCCTCCTCCTCCTCCTCCTCCTCCTCCTCCTCCTCCTCCTCCTCCGCCTCCTCCTCCTCCTCCTCCTCCTCCTCCTCCTCCTCCTCCTCCTCCTCCTCCTCCTCCTCCTCCTCCTCCTCCTCCTCCTCCTCCTCCTCCTCCTCCTCCTCCTCCTCCTCCTCCTCCTCCTCCTCCTCCTCCTCCTCCTCCTCCTCCTCCTCCTCCTCCTCCTCCTCCTCCTCCTCCTCCTCCTCCTCCTCCTCCTCCTCCTCCTCCTCCTCCTCCTCCTCCTCCTCCTCCTCCTCCTCCTCCTCCTCCTCCTCCTCCTCCTCCTCCTCCTCCTCCTCCTCCTCCTCCTCCCTCCTCCTCCTCCTCCTCCTCCTCCTCCTCCTCCTCCTCCTCCTCCCTCCTCCTCCTCCTCCTCCTCCTCCTCCTCCTCCTCCTCCTCCTCCTCCTCCTCCTCCTGCTCCTCCTCTCCTCCTCCTCCCTCCTCCTCCTCCTCCCCAAAAATAATAATTCCATTCTAAAAACACGATATTTTTTATTTTAGAGGTATGCAAAGTACTATTGGTTGAGGTTTGGGCATTTCAAAAGTGTGTCACATAATTTTTTTTTTTTTTTATATTTAAAATGAAATTCTATATCTTCATCGTTCAGAAATACCATATCAGTCATATCCCCGGTAATTGCATACATATCCCTACTCAAGAGATTTATTTGCAGAAAAATCAGGAAACTTTTTTAAATAAATGTGTATATCAATTTCTCTTGGCTTTTTTTGAAAAATTGGTCAATTTTTTCCTGATTTTCTGTTTTCCAAATTTTAAATAAAAGTTGGTTAAATGAGACAGATTCTAAATATAGATCCACCTTCAAAATATTTAAATATTTGCTAGTTTTTAAGTAATTTTGAGAACTGTCAGAAATGCAATTTTCTTCCGTCCGATTGATTTCGGTGTAATTTCCTTTGAATTATCTATAAACTTTCTAAAATATTCAAATGACATTTTAGTCCTCTTCACTTGTTTTTTGATCCACCACCTGCTGCGTTTATATTTGAAGCAAATTGTTTTCGAAATAACTTCCGCGATGATTTTCGCTAATTTCGGAAATTTTGATAGAATTTGTAGAGATTTCGATGATTTCGAGGATTTCGAGTGAAAACATATCAGTATTTCGGGACGGTTAACTACTCAGTACAGATAGTCTCTCAAGTGACTAATTTAATATCGCTATGCATTTGAAAAAACTGAGACAATTAAGTTACCATGAAAGTCAATAAAAAGTATTTTTCGTTAAATGTCTCATTTTATCAGATCATGTTTCTGTTGTAGAATTTAGTTTTTGAGTGCCTATAAATTTTTATTCAAAAGTGTAGATTTTTTAATTCTTTTTGAAATTAGTTTTCCTTGATTATTAGCAATAGACGTTTTCCTATTATTTGGAATAATTTTCTATTCATTACTATTTTATATTCATTACTGCAAATTTAATACCTGAACAACAAACGCGTCTCTGGAATAATTAATTTACATTTGTTTAAAACAAAGTTTTCGTTCATGTAAAGTATTTCAAGGTACATATATTGATTGTATTAAATATTTAAATTTTCTGAAAATAAATACGATACGAAGTAACTAAACTTTTTGTTATTTTTTCCAAGAAATTTTGATATTTGAATAAATATTGTTATTTACGTCATAAGTCCGTAAAGTACGTATATAGGTACTATTTTACAGGATGGCCCGGTCAGTTTATATGGTGAAACATCCTTCCAGGCGTTTGACGTAGAATATTTTTTTTAATTAGACAAATTTATTTAATTTAGGTACTTACATTTTTTAAAATCTATAATTTACATCGAACTATCACAAAACGATGTGCTAGCAAAAATTGTTTTACTGAGAGTTTTTAATTCATTGTGTGTAGTATCAAATGGAAGATCTTTGTAGCACGATTTCAAAAATGTATAGTTCGTTCGTTTAAGTTAATTTTTAACTTTTTCTGTGCCCAAATTATTTCTAACAGCAACGCTCAAAAAATCAGAAAAATCGCGAACGTTGGGTATAAAGCCTTGTTCAGAGTAGTAGCGGCGCGCGTCGGCGATAGAGTTGTGTCGAGGGACGCAATTTCAAATATCGCATTGCTGGGGGGCTATTTTCAAAGTATGGGAGCACTCATTTCTCTCAAGATTCTCATCAGAAATGTCATACGTCAATGTGGAAATGTTGTTTTTAAAGGCATCGAGGATTAAAATTCTTAGGAAGATTTTAATTCTCTCTAAATAAACCGAGAGAAACAGTCAGTGAGTTCACACTGGCCCTAAGAGCCCTAAAAATACGGTTTTACGTTGACGTATGACATTCTCTTGAGAGAAATGAATTCTCTCGAGTTTGAAAATAGCCCCCCTGGTCGAGTGGTCGCTCTCATTCTGAATGTTTGCGTTTGGTAACACTAGGTTGCTTTACCGATGACTCGTCGCTCAGTGCAAGACTATCGCATCGCTACGCTCGCCGCTCCTATCTGAACAAGGCTTTAGGTATACAAGGGAATATCGATTAAAGATAAGAAAATTAAAGGATGTATTTGGAAATGTGAAAATGAAAAGAACAATTCTAATCACTTTTTGATAAATAGGCCGTACTTGCTAAAAAATCATGTTGTGGACACATTACCTATTTTTAACTGTACAGGGTGTGTCATTGGTAACGCATCGGTCTGTAGAGTCAAAAATAATTTATTTTTTTAAATTTGTTTTCACGGCGAGATGTACAGAATGTTATGAAGAGCATGTAATGGCAGATTCTACATCTAAAAATATGAAAAAAAGTTTATATAAACATGGGCCCGAAAATCTCTGTTTTCATGAAACGGGGTGTTTAAACTTTTCCGTCTTTATTAGCTTCTCTCACATTTACGATACCTCATTGGAATATTGAAATGAGTTTTAGTAGATGCAAATGTATCAAGTGGTCACATTTACATATAAAAAATTGTGCCTTTATATTTAGCGAAAAAACTGTACGCCTCTGATTTTGGTCATTTCTGGACCCACGTTCATAAGAACGTTTTTAGAAGTAGAAACTGCCATAAAATATTATCAAAACGTTATGTAATACCCTGTAACTCACTATAATTAGACTAGGCGTTAATTGGTCTCACTTTATTTATATCAGGCGCTAACTTGTCTCTTATGTATTTGTCCCGACGCAAATTTGTCCCGTGCTAAGATGGGTCGGATCCTAAAATGTGAGAGAAACAGAGCTACACATCAAACATTCTTTACATAGGTACAGTATTTGTTACTCACTAGTTCAATGAATTTCATTAATTAAAAAACATATTTTGATCTTTACGCGCTATTTTGTCCTTGCCCTATTTTGTCACGCGCTATTTTGTCTTGCGGTATTTTGTTTTGCGCTATTTTGTCCTTTCGCTATTTTGTCCTTGTGTCATTTTGTCCTGCACTATTTTGCCGGCGCTATTTTGTCCTTGCGCTATTTTGTCAGCGCTGTTTTGTCCTGTGCCATTTTTTTGTGTATTATTTCTATACTCCGAGTAATATTAATGTACTTCGTGTTACTATTTATGTACTATGTGAACTAATTGTGTACAATTTGTGTACAATTTGTGTACAATTTGTGTACAATTTGTGTACAATTTGTGTACAATTTGTGTACAATTAGTGTACAATTTGTGTACAATTTGTGTACAATTTGTGTACAATTTGTGTACAATTTGTGTACAATTTGTGTACAATTTGTGTACAATTTGTGTACAATTTGTGTACAATTTGTGTACAATTTGTGTACAATTTGTGTACAATTTGTGTACAATTTGTGTACAATTTGTGTACAATTTGTGTACAATTTGTGTACAATTTGTGTACAATTTGTGTACAATTTGTGTACAATTTGTGTACAATTTGTGTACAATTTGTGTACAATTTGTGTACAATTTGTGTACAATTTGTGTACAATTTGTGTACAATTTGTGTACAATTTGTGTACAATTTTGTGTACAATTTTTGTACAATTTTTGTACAATTTGTGTACAATTTGTGTACAATTTGTGTACAATTTGTGTACAATTTGTGTACAATTTGTGTACCATTTTTGTACTAGTTGTGTACATTTTGTGTATTTTTTGTGTACTATTTGTTTACTATTTGTGTACTATTTGTGTACTATTTGTGTACTATTTGTTTACTGTTTGTTTACTATTTGTGTACTATTTGTGTACTATTTGTGTACTATTTGTGTACTATTTGTGTACTATTTGTGTATTATTTGTGTACTATTTGTGTACTATTTGTGTACTATTTGTGTACTATTTGTGTACTATTTGTGTATTATTTGTGTAATATGTGTGTACTATTTGTGTACTATTTGAGTTCTATTTGTGTACTATTTGCGTACTATTTGTGTACTATTTGTGTAATATTTATGTGCTATTTGTGTACTATTTGTGTACTTTTTGTGTACTATTTGTGTACTACTTGTGTACTATTTGTGTACTATTTGTGTACTATTTGTGTACTATTTGTGTACTAGTTATGTACTAGTTGTGTACTAGTGTTGTACTATTTGTGTACTATTTGTGTACTATTTGTGTACTATTTGTGTACTATTTGTGTACTATTTGTGTACTATTTGTGTACTATTTGTGTACTATTTGTGTACTATTTGTGTACTATTTGTGTACTATTTGTGTACTATTTGTGTACTATTTGTGTACTATTTGTGTACTATTTGTGTACTATTTGTGTACTATTTGTGTACTGTTTGTGTACTATTTGTGTACTATTTGTGTACTATTTGTGTACTATTTGTGTACTATTTGTGTACTATTTGTGTACTATTTGTGTACTATTTGTGTACTATTTATGTACTATTTGTGTACTATTTTGCACAATTTTGTACTATTTGGATCTAAGTCCGTGCGGTTCCGTAGTATTCCCACTATTCTCAATTGGCAGGTGTTGGTGACCTGCAGAAAAGTTTAGCTACGACCGTTTTTAGGCCAGCAACTTAATTTTAATAGCAGTGACCTTTTTTTTAGCATAGCCTAAATTTTGTTTATTTATGTACATTTTCTGTACTATTTGGGGCGCAATGTGTGTGTGTGTGTGTGTGTGTGTGTGTGTGTGTGTGTGTGTGTATGTGTGTGTGTGTGTGTGTGTGTGTGTGTGTGTGTGTGTGTGTGTGTGCGTGTGTGTGTGTGTGTGTGTGTGTGTGTGTGTGTGTGTGTGTGTGTGTGTGTGTGTGTGTGTGTGTGTGTGTGTGTGTGTGTGTGTGTGTGTGTGTGTGTGTGTGTGTGTGTGTGTGTGTGTGTGTGTGTGTGCCTGTGTGTGCCTGTGTGGCCTTGTGTGCGTGTGAAGTAACCTGTGTAATCCCTTGCTTTTTAATACTGTTATAATGGAAAAAGCAAAAATAAAATAATTTTTATATGTATGACTTTCTTGGATAACCCATTATAATTGAAACTATTTTTAAATTGTTGCCTTTTCGGAAATAGAAACATCTCGCTGAGAAAAGCTATTGGTTTTTGCTTCTTCAGACCGAGGGTTTACCATTGATCCACCCTGTATTTTATCTTAATAATTGGAAAACAAAATGACAATTAGTTTGGCAGAATTGTCAATAATTTAAAAGTTTAAAAACTAATAGATGTTTACTAAATATGAATTGTGATTTATGAATTTTATATCCTTATTAGAATGGATATCAGTCAGTAGACTAATATGACCTACTAATTAATTCTGTAATTTGTGCAAAAACTAGATAATATACAGGGTGATCGGATTTAATTTTCGTATACAAAAAATTCGTGAACCTTTGTAGCGTATGTATAAAGTATGCTAGATACGCCACTGGCAGATTTCGTGGAATGCCAAAAGAGTAAGTAGCAAGCGAAAATGGGCAGTTGTAAATGGGAATTAGGTGTGAATAAATGTGTTTAGTTTACGTGGTACCGGCATATTATTTTAACCCTTTAGTTATTGTGGGTAACACCCTCAATACATCACAACCTTAAAATGTACAATGTTAAATGTAGAAAAACTTTTATGATCTGAATAATAGTTCAATGCTTTAAAACTTCTTCGGAAGTATTGTGGAAGTATTAGACAGAATCTCAAGCAGCTCATTTTCGTTTTTATAGTTTGGTGTTGTTAATATGATATAATAAAGTAATCACGGTTTATTATAAATATAAATGTAGTTCCCTATATCCTGTAATACTAAAAGTTTCATTATGACGTTTTGTGTTTCCAGGACCACTTTCAAGTTATTTTTTTAATACAGACATAGATTTTTAAATGTAATTTTTTATAAGTTTTTTATTATCTTGTTACTATGTTTCTTTTATGAAAATATCAGCTTTTCAGTTTCTTATAATACCGTTTTTACTCTAGTAAAACACTGTGAATCGTTTGAATACTAATTTAATAAGTATTAATCTTAAAAGAAAATAATTCGAATTTGAAACATATTACATTAATTTTATTATAAAATAAGTTACAATTTTTGATCCAAACATGATTAAATACAACCAGATAACAATAATAATAAAGAACTAATATTATTGTACACATTCTACAAATAATATTCTGAAGCTAAAACCAAAAAATATAAAAAGAATGGAATAGCTGTTTACGAGATCCCTGTATATGTAAATTAAATTGGGTCCACTCGATATACATATATATGAGTGTAAAAAAATATGTATTATTTCACATATAAAAAATGTACTTCTATGAAAGATTTATTTGTTTTAGGCAAATTTTTATAAATCGTTGCAATTTTGTAGGCAACAGGGAATGCATTTGTTGAGTATTAACAGCAAAATAGAAAATGACAGAATTGGAAAATTCATTTTAGATAATGGTAAGAATATTTTAATTATTGTACTTATTTTGTTTTAATAATGCATGAACGTTTTCGTAATAGCTGTACGTAATGACGTATTTGAAGTGTTTTGAGATTTTTTAAAGAAGAAGAAAATATACAACACTAAGAAGAAGTAACTAAGTAAACCAAAAAATATCAACCTATCTTTATGTCTCTAATGTAAAAAGTATGAAGACTAGAGAGAATGAGGCGATTCATACCATACGGCGAATCGGTATACTCGAAATACGGTCCCTAAAAACGAACGCTAATTGAGCTTTTACAATTCACTGAAGGGGACTGGTATTGCTAGGGACGTTAAAAATACGTGGCTTATTATGGGAATTTTCCATAATTGTGTAAAAATTAAAAGTAAATTTGTTTATTGCAAAATAAAGCATTTCTAAATAAGTATTGCATGTTTTAAGTGATAAATTATTTAATTTTATCTACAGGGTGTTTCATAATATATGCGCAGGACTTCAGGACGTGATAACTCGTCCAAAAATATAAAAAAATGTTTCTACTAAAATGCACCATTTTCGAGATACATACAGCCGTATGCATAGTCGATCGCCAGCGACTCGCCAGCGACTCGCCAGCGATTCGCTGGCGATCCGCCGGCGAAAGCCCAAAAAGCTGGCGGCTCGCCGGAGATTGTCACCGGAATGTCATTTCACGAAAGTTTTCATGTTCTTTTATAGGGAAAAATTTGATATTCGTTCATTATTTTTTGAGTTTTAAGAAATGAATCATGAATAAAATGCGAGAGATACCGGTGATATTCCCTATACAAGAACATGAAAACTTTCGTGAAATGACATTCCGGTGACAATCTCCGGCGAGCCGCCAGCTTTTTGGGCTTTCGCCGGCGGATCGCCAGCGAATCGCTGGCGAGTCGCTGGCGAGTCGCTGGCGAGTCGCTGGCGATCGACTATGCATACGGCTGTTAGTGTTGAAATTGAAAAAAAAAAATTCTACGCCACTGGAAAGAGTGCGGTTTTGAACCTCCAATGTTTTCTACACAAAAAAGGTACTCCTGGTCATATGCTCTAAAGTCGACCGTTTTCGAGAAAAATCAAATTTTGTTTCATCAAGTAGGTTTTAAATTTCAAAACTTGATTTTTCTCGAAAACGGTCGACTTTAGAGCGTATAACCAAGTGTATCTTTTTTGTGTAGAAAACATTGGCGGTTCAAATGTGCGTCTCAAAACCGTACTTTTTCCAGTGGCGTAGAATTTTTTTTTTTTATTTCAACACCCTGTATCTCGAAAATGGTGCATTTTAGAGGGTAAGTTAATAGAAACGTTTTTTTAAATTTTTGGACGAGCTATCACGTCCTGAAGTTCTGCGCATATATTATGAAACACTCTGTATATAAAATGCAAATTAAGAATAACCAAATTTTAAAGTTTGTAAGTAGAATATTGTGGCTAATTTTGTTTGAATTATACCTAAATATAGTTTTAGTCAAATGAAACACAGTTAAAAGACTTTTTATTTTTATAATACAAGTATAAAGGGAGATTCGGGAATATTTTATCCTTTAATTTTGTACTTATACTTTTTATTTTGCTCACAGTACCATCAAGTACCAAAAGAGTCTCATAATATTTAGAAATATCTTCTGAAAAGTGTAGCTCGCAAACAGCATCATCTCTAGAAAGTCCTTTATCATCGCTAGGAATGATATGTTGTACCTAGAGCATAGTGTTTTTTTGCCATAAAAAGTAATAGTGTGTAGATAATTTGAGATGTGGTAGCTTTTAAATTTTCAATCATTGATGAGTAAAAATACAATGTTGTTTTTATTCGTAAACTTAACTTCGCCGCAGATGCAGATATTATTGGTTATGTTGCACCCTCTTGTACCTTGAAATAACGGCACATCTTGTACCTTGGAACATTTTTTTTTCAGAATATTTGCAAGTATTCCGCGTAGTAAAGAAGGTAAAAAAAATCTTGTTAATGCAGATTAAATAAAAAGGCTCTAGAAGCTGTTAACTCCACTGATCCAGATAAAAAATTTTAGTAGCCTTATAACCCTGTTAAGAGAATCTGAAAAGTATAAAGAGGTCAAAGGTAATAGCTATGAATACACTACGAATAATGCCGTTAAGCAAGTTTTTTGTAATTAAGAGCAAGAAAGTCTCGTGAAATATATTCAAAAAGTAGCCAAAATGCAGTGTGGTTTGACAAAAAGGGGTTTAGATTAAAAATTTGCTGCGGCCAATAAAAAGAAGTATCCACCACCAGATTGGGACAAGGATCAAAGTGCAGCGAAAGACTGTATGCGTGGCTTTATGAAGAGGCAACGAGAAAATTTGTCACGAAACCTGATGCCATTAGTTTAAATCGATCCACAAGTTTAAACAAAACAAACGTGAATAATTTTTTTGATAACCTACAAAGTGTTCATACTCGCTTTGGACCAATCCCTCCACAGAGAATATGGAACCTTGATGAAACAGAGCTTAGCAATCCAAAAGAGTAGCCTCCAAAGGAATAAAGCAGCTTAGTAGTGAGACTTCGGCTACAAGAGGATCACTGGTTATGCGTCTTTTTTAAATACAAGGTGATATATGGAGTATCTCGTGGAACTGTTGGGTGTGCAACACCATCAGGATGGTCTAAGGAAAAAATATTTTTAAAATTCCTAGACCATTTCATTGAGAATATAAAATGTTCTAGAGATGAGAGGGCGTTGTTATTATAAGACAATCATGAAAGCTACCTTTTAATAAAGGTACTAGAAAATGATTTAACTGCTGGTAACATTCCCACCTCATACATCTAATAAGTTACAAACCCTAGATTTAACCCTTTTCGACCCTTTAAAAACATTTTATAGTCAAGTTTTTTAGGCATGGCTGGTCAATAATGTATGCAAAACTTATTTATTGTGTTGGAGAGATTTTGGGAAATTCGTTTCCAAGAGCTTTTAAGCCAAAAAATATTTTGAGTGGAATTTGATGCTCAGGAATTTTAGGAAGAAGATTTTCACAAACTGCGAATAACTTAATGAAGCTGTTTCTAACAGTTCACCCTCAACTTCTAGCAATGTTTTAATTCCTGTTACGAAGCCTGTTACTACTAAAGCTCAGAATAGATTACCAGAGTTTCATCCGAGTACATTAGCAGAACTTGATACTTCAAGTTCTCCCTTGAACTCTGCGAATATTTCATTGCCCCGTATTTCTACAATTCAGGATAAATCAGAAGAACTACAAGAAGAATCATCGGCAGGACCTTCAGGCGTACAACATGCGTCTACACCAGCGGTTATCAATAGAAATCAGACATTTAAATTAATATTTGTATCTCCTGAACATATACAACCCTTTACTAAAGCACAATCTAGTCAAGGTAATAAAAGAGGGAGACAATATGGCAAAACAATTATTGCAACAGACACTCCCGAAAAGGAAGAAATAAAGCGGCAAAAGTCGAAAAAAAGGTTCAGGCTGTAAAAAAGTCCAACAAAAAAAAAGAAAACCTAGATAAACAAATAATTTTGAACCTTTTTCTGACAGCGAAGATCATATATCCCTTGCATCAACTGATGAAGAAAAAGATACAGATGAATCAGGTTGGTTTTGTAGCAACACTAAGTATGGTCGCTGCGTTAATAACATATGTGCCCATCTTGACAACAATGATTGGGAAACATACCTGTGTGATATTTGTTTAAAGACGCTGCAGTTTGGTTATTTAGTTTTATGTTTTCCTAAAATAATATTTTGAGTTTTTATGAAATGTTTTGTTTTTTAAGTGCTTTTTTTAATTTATGATAACTGATAAATTTTTTAATAAATACAAAATACATTAGGTCTATTTCATGGTACACGATCCCCTTGTACCTTGGAACATTTTTTGCTAATTAAAATTATTTTTGAAAAAATTTGTAAAATTTGTAAAATTTCCTTTATTATGTACTTCAATAGATACTCATTCAATTTAGCAAACAATGCCGTTTAAATATTTTTCTAGAAAGAAAGTGCTTTATCAGCCCTGCGAACGATATGCTGCTACGGTCCTAAAAGTTTAGGATCCCATAAAAAACATTTACAATGATAAAATTGGGGTTCAAAAACTGTTGTGCTATAGACTTGATAATTATTTAAAGATATTTTGCTTTAAATTGTAACGTTGACAAACATATAATATATCAAGACAGTGACAACTATTATTAATAAGTTGTAATGCGCGAAGTCTCCTATGAAAAATTCCATAGGGTGATTTTTCAACAAAAACAAATAATAGTTATAACTTTTGATCTAATATTAAAACTCTAAAAAAAAAACAAATTTGATGTTCTAGTTAGTTAAATGTAATCTGTAATTATTGTTGTTTGTAATTGTGCATTTATGACTAAAATTTTATATTATAGAAATTTGTAATGAAATAATTTGCACCCTGTAAATGACTAGTTTACAATAAATTATATTTACAAATAAATAAAAGATTTTACTTACATTAGAAGATTTAAAAAGACATTGAATTGATTTCTCATTGTGTTTTCTTTAGATTTACATCTGATTTATTTTCCGTTTCATAACCTGAAATGAAGTAAATCTTGTTACTTGTAGTCAGGGACTTTATTTTCACATTATGAGGGACTTTATTTTTACATTATGTGGGACTTTATTTTCACAACATGTCCAAAAATCTGAAGGTTATCTGCAATGGTTGCAATCGACTCAGGAGAATCGGGGGATATTAAGAATTTATTGTCTAAAATAAACGACGACTTTATTTTAATATTCAGTTAACTCGAGACAAAATTAGATCAAGTTAACCAAATTGAAGCAAATAGCATTAACACGTCAATGGATAAGCTACAAACAGATATTAATGAGCTAAAGAACACCAAACCAGAAACCCAAACCAACAATAATTTTAAAGAAATCGTGTGCAAGAACTAACTGAAAGAGAAAAAAGGAAGAATAATCTGATAATATTTAAGCTAGCGGAACAACAAACTAGTAACGATGAAGTTAACACCATCAACAATTCGATGAAAGGGTCAGCAAACGGGAAAAGAATATAAAAATTAAATATTTCAATGGAATTCCAACAATTTCTTCTTTAAACTAGTTAATACACCTACTTACCGAGACATAGAATATAGTTACTATAATGCAAGAGGTCTAAATACAAAGGTAGTTCAGTTTTATAACTCTGTATCAGCAAATGACACAGACATCATAAATGTTACCGAGTCTTGGTTATTTACCAGCTCATATTCAGTATTCAGGAGCGATCAAAATTTTATTGCAACGGGAGTTACTACTGGAGGTGGTGTACTGTTAGCGCTCAAAAATGAGTTTAACGCATCGACAATCAACGTTGAAAACATCAAAAATATTCTTCCTGAAATCGACATAGTTACTTGCAATATCTCGAAACATAATTTCATTTTGGTAGTTTTCACGCTGTATATTCCACCAGCCACGACCATTTACGACTATGAATTGTTTCTCGATGCTTCCGAATCACTAGAATGTTTTCGTTTAAACTGCAAAATTTTAATCTTTGGCGATTTTAACGCTCCACTCTTTTATATTGACAATTATGACTCAAAAACTAGATTAATTAAGGATTTTATAAATTTTCTAAATGGTAATCAATACAACTCCATTCGGAATCAGCATAATTAGCTTTTGGACTTAGCTATCGCTAATTTTAAATGTCAAGTTACTAGAAATAATTATTTGTCAACATTTAGAAACCTAAGATCCTTAATTAAGCTACAAATCAAAACAATTTATGCAGCCTATGTTAAAGAAATAGAAAGAGACGTATCATTAGAACCAAGTAAATTCTGGGCATTTATAAATACCAAAAACAATAAATCTAGAATTCTTGGCAGAATGCAGTTAAATAATTCAGTCTATGAAACGTCTCAGTCTATTGTAAATGGCTTTTCTGAATTCTTTTCTAGTGTTTATTTACCTTCTAATCATTTATCCAATTTCGAATCAGTCTCTATGTCTAATTTGCATATTTGTATATCTGAAACCGATATAGTTTTAGCTTCAAAAAAACTTAAAAACAAATTTACGGCGGGAGTAGATAATGTACTAAGTTTTGTTGTCAAGGACTATTCCTATCCATTTGCCAAACCTCTTTGCTTCTTGTTTAACCTAATTCTAAAAACGGAAACTTATCCTGACGTATGGAAAACTGCAAAAATTTGTCCAGTTCTCAGGTCCAATTCATAAATCCGGCGATCGCTCTGCTATAGATAATTACACACCCATATCCATACTCTGTAACTTTGGGAAAGTGTTTGAGATGATAATTTACGAAAACGTCTATAATAAACTGAAACCATTAATTTCTAACTTTCAGCACGGTTTTATGTCAAAAAGATCGACTGTATCTAACTTGGCCTGTATAACACAGTATACTAACTGTTAATTTTGAAAAAACATTTGTTATTCCCTTTGCTGCTTACAATAACAGTATGCCCGATTATCAATTAATTACAATCAATATAAATAACAAGGATACAATAATAAAAAAAGCTAATGATATTAAGTATCTTGGCATTACGATAGATTGTAATTTAAAGTGGGACAAACATGTACAAAATATAACAAGAACACTAAGAAGTTTACTTTATAAATTTAAATACTTAAGTACCATTTTAAGTGTTCATTACTTAAAAACTATTTATTATGCACTCGTTGAATCAAGGCTACAATATGGTATACTTGTATGGGGTGGGTTATACCAAGTTCACTTAAAGAGTATGGAAATTCTCCAAAAACGATTTCTAAAATTATTATTAAGAAAACCTTTTCATTTTTCCACAGACCTACTTTTTCAGGAGGCCAATTTGCTTGATATTCGTCAGTTATATTGCCATGCAGTTTTAATTTTTACATATAAAAATAAGGAAATCATATTACATGAAATTGATCACAAGTATGATACTCGTCAAAAATCGTCATTATTTGTTAAGACCCCGTTATTAAAAAAAAAACGATAGGACAAAGATGTTTTACCTTCTTAGCTCCTAAAATATACAGTTTTCTGCCAGAAATCTATAAAATCCATATAAGAAAAATAAATTCCTTATCCTACATTAAAAAGATCTTCAAAATTTTTTTGATAAATACTGGTCGACAAAATATTCATGACTTAATTGAATTAAACTAAAACATCTAAATAAAAATTAAACCTAAACTAATCTCTAAAAAAATAAAAATTAAAAAAAAAACATCAAATTTAACCAAATAAGTGTAATCATTTTCATGCTTTCCTGTTGTCATCAAAAATTGTTCATTGCTTTTCATCTTTTTTTCTCATAATTTACAATTCGTTTGTTAATTCTACATTTCATCTGTCAATGTGTTTTTACATGTTCTTGAAAACTGAAAATTGTGTTTTGTTATATTCTAATGCTTTTTCTTTTTATATAATTTTTTTAACTAATTATAATATTTATTAAGAACGCATTATTATTATTATTGTTATATTTATTTGTATTAAGTATTTAATTTAATAATATTAACTACTCGTATTATACTCATCTTCATGTTCATATTATTAATTAATCATTAGTCTTCCAGCTAGTACAATTAATTATTATTATTCATGTATATTATTTATTATTATTATTAATGCACATATTTACATTTATTAATATTGTAATTACTATTGGTATTATTATTAATCTTAAGTCTATTGTTATAATTATTAATTTTTATCAGCAATTATGGCGCTACTAATAAACAGGAGTAATTTCCGAGCACAACCTTACGGTTTTTTCGGACTAACTCATGTTTATTTACATTAAAAAAGAATTTATTTGTAAACAAAAATATATGTAAGAAGTAAAATAAACATTATTATTATATATCAAACACACTTGACTCTGTCGGTCAAGTAGATGTTATTTATACTGATATAAAAAAAGCTTTTGACCGAATCGATCATTATCATTTATTATTCAAGCTCAAATCTGTTGGTTTTTCGAATTTTCTTTTGAAGTTAATGGAGTCATATCTAATAAATCGATACCAGTTTGTAGAGTATGGTGGCTCGAGGTCTAATAAATATATTTCATTATCAGGTGTTCCTCAAGGGTCCAATCTGGGACCGTTACTATTTCTTGTTCTTATAAACGATATATCAAGTCAACTCTTGATACCACATTTACTTTTTGCCGACGATTTAAAAATTATATTGAAGTCAAATCCGATGAAGATTGTTTCTTACTGCAAAACGCCTTGAGTACAATTTATAACTGGTGCCTTGTTAATTATCTACAGCTGAACTTAACTAAATGTAATCTCATTTCATAGAAAACAAAATCCCATAATTTTCAATTACTCTCTTAACAATACCACTTTGGATAGATGTGTAACATTCAATGATTTAGGAATAGTCTTTGATAGCGAACTTAACTTTAATAATCATATTGTAGAAATTGTTTCTTCTGCATACATGATTCTTAGATAGTTTATAAGAAACTGGGGTAGCTTTTCAGATGTAAATACACTACGACTTTTATATATCACATTTATCAGAACTAAGATCGAATATACGTCATTGATATGGTATCCAATATATCAAAATGCAATTAACTATGTAGAATTTGTACAACGTAAATGCCTGAAGTACATGTATTTTAAGTGCAGTGGCTTCTATCCTCCTAAGGGTTTTAATCATACAGCTATATTATAAAGATTCAATTTGGAAACCCTAGCGGAAAGAAGAAACTGCACGGCTTTAACGTTCTTATACATGTTATTAAACAACAAAAAGATTGTAGCTGTTTGTTAAACCAACTAACGCGCTTGGTACCTCGAACTCACGCAAGACACTCGCACATTTCATTGCGCTATACCAAGAACCAATGTGCTAATTAAATCACCAATTTACAACATGAGCCAATTATTTAATGGTATTGGGCACCTATGTGATACATATTTCGACGATATAAAATCAATAATTAATTGTTATAAAGAATCGTTGCTTTTGTTTGAGGTACCTATTAGTCTTTGATTTATTTAATTGACATTTTATTTACTTTTCTTGGAAAGCTGTTTCTGTCTGTTCCATTTATAGTTTTTTTATTAGCTTTAGTTTATTATTTAAATTTTTTTCTTTTATTTATTTATTTATTTATTTATATATTGTAGAATTGTAAGTATATTCTCTGTAATTGGGTGTGAATCCGTTGAGAATTAATGATTATTATTTTGATTATTTTCACCATTTAAAAAAAAACCTTTATTTCACATTGACTTATATAGAAAATTAACGTCAATAATATTCTACATGCCAACTACAGTCAATTTGGCAAACTTTATAAAAAGGACAGAAAATGGAAATTTGTCCATTGTCGATTCGCCCCCTTCTCTCTAGTCTTCATAGTAAAAAGTTAAGATATACATTGCATACTTTCATTAATTATTATAGAATACAAATTTTTATTAGGAATTACTTTCGGTCATTTCTGGACTTCAGCATCGAATCTAGCTGGTGATCACGAATGGATCTGGTTATCCACTGGACGCAATATGTATTACACAAATTGGGACCAAGGGGAACCCAATCATGCCCACAACTCAACAGAAAATTGCGTCGAGGTTCGCCATTGGGGATCGAGCGGATTTACATGGAACGATTTGAACTGTCAGGAAAATTTGTTTTTCATATGCGAGTCGATTACAGATTGTGTTCAAGTTAATGATAGCAAAAAATAAATGTTCAACTTTTAAGTTTTTTTAATTAAATATTTAGCATTTAACCTTTTTTTTTATTATAATCTTTACTAGTTAAACAATGTATGAGATCTACAATTTCAATAGTTTTATTCATAACAAGTTGTCATTCATTTATGCATATCTGGTGAAAACTGCATCCTGATATTTTTATTCTAATACTCATCTTTAAAAAACTGTTTCGAACAGGAAAAAACTGAGAAATTTAATACCTTCTATACTACCGAATTTTAGATGATCAACAATTGGTGTAAGATTTCTGCAGATACAACTACAGAAAAAATATTTGTTGAGCTTTCTTTGGTTAAATAGAAGTTGAGATCTTGTCTATTATATACAATAGTATTACACAAAGTATCATGTAGAACCAGTTCTTAAAGAATTATAGCCAATTATGGCTTAGTCTTTGCTGACTAAGTTATAATATAAATTTGGTAATTTTGTGGGTTATTCAGCAAGAAATTCTTACAAAGTGTACTATTATAATGCAGAGCTTATTTCAACGTAAAATTATATATTCAATAATTTTCATTTACAAAATAGTCCACCATTTAATTAAGTGCCCCGCTCTTTGTGCTCAGCTTAACTTTTTTGTTAATAGAATCAATTCTAGGCATATAGTCCATTTAAAATAACGGTAAACGGTCGAGAAACGCCGCACTTCACTAGACCACTTGTCCCCTACGTATTTTGGGACGATGATTACGAAAATGAGAGTCAAAAATTGGCAGCAATGGTTGGAACCCTTCAAATTGCAAAAACCTCCCCTAAATAGGGGTGTTTTTCGACTGTACTTGTTGTTTTGCAAACTAACTCATCTCATATGTTTTTTGGGGTGCTCATTACGAAAATCGGGATTAAAACTTGCAGCAATGGTTGAAACACCCCTATTTAGGGGTATTTTTGACAATTTTAGAAGTGGTTCAACCATCGCTGCAAGTTTTAACCCCGACTTTCGTAATCAGCGTCCCAAAAACATATGAGATGAGTAAGTTTGCAAAACAACAAGTACAGTCGAAAAACACCCCTATTTAGGGGTGTTTTTTACAATTTTAGAAGTGGTTCAACCATTGCTGCAAGTTTTAACCCCGATTTTCGTAATCAGCGCCCCAAAATACGTAGGGGACAAGTGGTCTCGTCAAGTGCGGCGTTTCTCGACCTTTTATCGTTATTTTAACTCGTACAGTACTGCAAGAGATCCGAATGGTCGGAACCATGTATTTAATTAACACCGTTTCAGAACACGCATGCGCTTTGAAAGACTTGGTTCAGTAATGCATGCGTTATATTATGCTCGTTGTTTGTTGTTTAAAAAAAAGAGGTTAACTAATACTTCATCATGAATAAATTAAAATTAAACGACAGTTTTGAAAGTTTCGATGCGGTAAAGAATGTTGTTCAGCAGTTTAATGATGAAAATTTAGTTTCATTTTATATAAGGGACTCGAAAACACTGCAAAGTGTTGCAAAAACGAAACCCCTTAAAGTGAAAAATGCTATTGGCATAAAAAGAATTCAAAAATTAAAGAGGCCCCAATTATTTGTTAACAAACGTTTATTCCAAAGACAGCAATTAATGTTGGAATGTTTCCTTCAAAAAGATAAAATAAAACAAATAATGTATAATAACGAACTTATATTATAAGCACCGATGCGTTTGAGAAAATTTTAATAATAAATTCTATTAGTGGTAAGTACATTTATTATTGTTTCTGAATAATTTACCTTTAGATAACTAATTTAAATAACCTTAGTAGATTATTTAAAAAAAATAGTTGTGGCCAACGATCGAATTTTGTGCCAAGTTCAATGATGTTTTTTTGTCTTAATTGTGACATACCTACTTTCTCATTTTTGTTAGTTATCTGACTTAGTCATTTAATATCCAAATCAGTGTAAAGGTGATAAATATTTCCGTTTTAAGGGTATGAACAGTTCAATTGGTATTAATTTTTATTTCATATTTTTCAGGTGCAGAGAAGCCAACTGAGACTGAGGGCGCTATTATTACTGTTATTTATTACATAATGTAATTAAGACTTTGTATCTTTTATATTAAAACAATAAATTGAATATTTTATTAAGGAACATTATTTTCTAGGTTATAATTATAATAATTATGGAATACTACTACAAATTTTATTAAAAATTACTACAATTTGTATGAATTTTTACTATTTATTGTGTAAAATTTTCGTATTTATTTTCATAAAACGCAATACATTTTTAATATAAATTCATACAATGAATAGCAAAAATTATAACAATTTGTAGAACAATTCTCATGATGCATTTGGATATTTTTACTAAATATTGTAGATAATAACTCTACAATACATTCTCCACAAATATTTGGAAATTTTTACTACAAATTGTCCCTGTCTCTATATGTACTATTTATTGTAGAGAAAAATCTATAATTGTAGAAATTTGTTCTACAATTTTTTTCCGTGAAGTTATAACTTAAGCAGTTTATTGTCGTTCAACCCAATATATATTATTGTCGATCTTTAGTTCTACACTTTAATGATATTTGTCATTTCATTAAAATTGAAGGTTTTGATGTTGTAGGAGTAACAAAGACAGTTAAAAAAAAATGTAGTGACTTTTTAAATCTTTCATCAGACAGGACCGGCACACAAAAAAGGTAGAGGAGTAGGTATGTTTTACATTTTTTACATTTAAAATAGTTTTCATTACAAAGGTATAATTAGTGAGTGTTTTGAATTTCTTGATTGAATATCTTTTGATACAAATTCAATTTAGTAGTAGTTTTCTTCATAACGGTAATTTTTGAGTTGCGCCACTATTGTCGCCAAAACTACTCGAATCCTTTATGTTGGATGAAGCCACTGTTATAACTCACAGAACACATTTTTTTAAATATTTTTAATTTTGAAAATATCTTAATATTAATAATATGTTTTTGTATAGGCTAAGTGGAAGAATGGATGTTCCTTGTAGATGAAACAACGAACTTCCTTGTTATAAAATATATATTATTTTGTATATATAAATTTATACAAAGACAAACATGATGTAATGTTAAGATAATACCAGAAATGCACTCAAGGTTTAAATGAGTTGTTCCGTTTTTAACTAGTGGTGGCATATCGCTTATTTTCAATCATTTTGTAAATGTTATCCACTAAGGTCATCTGGTTTGCGGTTTATTTTTATGAAATCGAAGAAAACTTGGAGATAATTTAATGTTAACAGGTTTTTCGTTCAGCAACACTAAAATTTGCACCTACCCAAATGATGGGTTCTAATCTAATTTTAATTATTGGTATTTTTTGTTCAACGTGTATAGTGAATGTTGATCCAGAGGAATACTTATCAGCAGTTCTTCCAGCAAGAAAAACATTAAACTCTTTTAGATATTTAGGAAAAGTTTATTATATAAACACTGTTTTCCAGGTAGGTGAAATGTTAGTATTAAAGTGGCATAAAATCACATTCTAAATATATTATTTCAATTTTTTAATTAATTTTATGTTAAATACAATCATTTTAGCTTCAGTAGTGGGTATAAACAGGGAGTAACATTTTTGTATTTTTCTTCTCGACATCCTTTTGTCCTTTTAGGCATCAGAAAAAGATTCTATGTAAATAAAAATTTCCTATGTTTATTCGGTCATGTTTTTACTTTAGCACAGCACTTCATATATTTCAGAAACATTTTTTCTATCTTCGGATGCAGTCAAAATTTAATAAAACTTGTGGAGATTACAAACACTTAAAATTTTTTTTTATTTTTAATGAACAGATACCCCATCTTTCTGTTTCATCGTGTGAAAATGTATTCGAAATGTTTATAAATCAGCAGATTGTTGTACACTGACAACTTGAATTCTCTTCCTAGGAGCCAATACATCTAGGTTCATCCCTAGGTATTTGGCCAAATCTTGATGCGAAATAACATTGTTTTTTTCATTTGGATTGCAGGTCACAACACCTACTTTTAGAATTGTCTTTATAATAACTTTATAATAATTCTTTTAGTTCAGTGAACAGCGACAATTTTGCCTTTACAATGTTAAACAAATCAAGCTTTATTCCCTATATATGCCTTTGGCTACGCTAAGAAAACACCTGTAACTAAAATGAACGCATAACATTCTCATAACGAATATTTTGGCAAACTACACATTTCTTTATCATCCTAAATGTCCTTAATAAACAGTTCAATGTTCAAATTATTCTCTAAAATCTCAAAATCCACAAAATAGCAGAATAAAACTTAATTTGTCACTTGACGCCGTCAACGAAATGTCTTGCCAAACTTAAAGGTTATAAACCATAATGTCAAATATCCAAATACAATACGATAAATTTTTTAATAGAATATATTGAAGAGAGAAGTAAAAATTTAATGCAGGACATTTGATGGGACAACATAGAAAGAGTGTACTTTCAGAAAGAAGTTGCAGACAAATTTAATGTAAACAAGGCGTATCTATTCTATCCGAAATTTTTGGTTTCATCATAGTGTGGTTAAACTACTAATAGGTATATATTCAAAATATAAAATATTTTTAAATGTTGTTTTTTATTTTAGGCAAATTTCTACACTGCCTTACACTTTTGTCGTCAACAAGGAATGCATTTATTAAGTATAAGTAATGAGGCAGAAAATCAAAAAATTGGGAACATGATCAAGGAAAAAGGTACCTACATAATTAAACGGTGTTAAATGTTTGCGTATTATTTACAGATTCGTGATCAGAACAAGTATACGAACCAGCGCAGTCTTACCACTTTAAAGGGTGTGTTTTTGGGTGTTTAAAATACCTATAGATATTGCTACGCAGGTTTTTGGTATCTCAATTTATTTCAACTCAACTTTAACAATCTGATAACACTAACGTATAACCCGAGAATACCGATCAAGGAGAAGCGACAGTAGCTGTCGGTGCCTTTGATATCGGATGTACCTTTTTTACGGCATGCCTTTGATTGATACACAACTTAGCACGCTGAGAAAACATGCTTATTTTCTACACTGAGCGAAATAGTTTGACAAATTATCTGAAATTATTGTTATAGTCCATGCGCAAATGTTGCAATGTGATTTAATTACATTGAAGTAGTTAGGGTTAATAGCAATGGTGAAATTTCGGCACCAAAATATAATTCATTATGTAATAATTAATTATTTGTTATAAAAGTAAAAGACGTGTATTATTTTATAATTTATTAGAGCAACGTTTGGTACATTATTATTAGCGTTTTGTGAAAATTGCAGTATAGTTAAGCAGTTGTATTTAAGTAGTAATTAGAAATTAGACATTTTTAAAGTTTGTATTACATGAAAAAAAAACCATTGCGGTGTTCGTAAATGTTATTGAACGTTTTTGCATCTAACTGTAAATGTTTTTTTTTTATTTCTAAATCACTAATGATAATTTACGCATACGTATTATGCATCGTTTAATTATAATTTAGTCTTTTATTTAAATATGTTATGTTTTTGTTTTTCAAACCATTCGAATTAAAACAGTTAATAAACAGTAATACAAAACAATAATTGAATCGGTGAGTTCGAAAACCCTACTAGTCAAAAATTTGACATTTAAAATTTGTCTCTTCATTGATTGAGCTTAAAAACCTTACTAGATACCTAGCCGTTAACGTAGTACAGCTGATTACACCCGTGAAATTTGGCGAAAAACCGTACATATCCGTAACTCGTACGGTTTTTCATCTGAACAAGAAAATAATGGTCAGTTGCTATGGTCAGTTGGAAAACCACAAATACTGAAAATGCTGATTAGCTGACTGAGATAACAGTTTTGATATTGTATTTTTCCTCCTTTTTGAATAAATATTAAGTAAATCAAAAAATGTTCACCTGTTTCTTTTTATTTACAGGGTTGAGTTCAAAACCCGTACAAGTCCATATTTCATTTGTATCTGTCATTGGTAGTCCATTTTATTATCTGAAAAACTACCATTAAAAATACATTGCAAAACCACGAGATCTAAAACTTTTCTATGCATGAAGATAGTCTATGTTAAGTAGTTTCAACGTTGAAAGGTTTTCATTGTTTTTCTCGGAAGGCTGATTTTGAACATGTATGGTTTTCGACCACACCATTTCAATTAAAATATATGACAAACTCACTTCGTGGAACCAACTCGCTGCTGTCAGAATCCAATCGAAATGAAGTTACAGCTACCTACAGTACTTCTGGATATGTAACGTGTGGAGGATGGGTTACTCCACGGCACTTAGTCCTCACTAGGCTCATTGTGTATTCTCTTAAGATGATAGGCACCTCCTAGCTCTTGAGCCAGCCTACAGATTTATTGTAGTTAATGTCACCAAGAGGTGCTTCTCTTATATCGGCCTGTGTTAGCCAATACTCGCCGAAAACAAATCTTCTAATAAATGAGAGCCACGGGCAATCGTAAAGTCTATGCTCAATGGTCTCATCTTTTTGTTCGCACCCTCTGCAGGGTGCAGATTCTGACAGCCCGATTATAGGGAGATGCTTCCGTACTTAACAATGACCAGTTAGAATGCCTGTGATCAAATGCAGATTCTATCTAGTCATAGTCAAGTATTTATTTGGTCTAGTGTTGTCAGGATAACTTAAAAGCTCCCTGGTAACTCTGCAGTTTCTTGTTTCATCCAATCTTTCCTTCAATTTCACAAAGAAATATTCTTTAATAAGGTCTGTCACTACTATTTGGTTGGCTGCCTTCTTGGCTAGTGAGTCAGCAAGAAGGCTACCTTCCGATGTGGCGTCATCTTTGATCCATATTAAGGTGACCACATTGTTGGATGAATACTCTTGCCAAAGCTTCGTGACATTCTAGTACTAACCCTGAGTAAATTCGTAGTCTCTTTAGGGTAAGTAGTGCTTATCTATCTGTATAGATGAGCATGTTCCTAGCAATGATATTGTTTCTGGTAATTTCTTTCACTGATATGAGAACCTTCGTGAGCTCGGTTTGAACTACATTAGCACTATTGCTCACAGCCCATTTTGTGTTGAGGTTTAAGGAATTGGAGTATATTTCACATCCTAAGCATTATTTTGTTTTAGCACCATCAGTGTAGATATGAATCGTACTTGCCACTTCCGGCTCTTTAATTTGTTCTATTATAACTTCATGTGGCTTATCGAAGATATATCTCGGTGAGATAAAGTTCATGTTCGCTTGAAGCCGTGGGAGCGTATCGAGCGCCTTTTTCCAAAAACGACGTCTCGTCTCCCCAGATCGCGTACATCAGGTTCTATTTCAACCGTGCAGAGGCATGTCATTGTCATCAAACCAACTTTCTTAATGTAAATATCAAGGAGAGTGAGACTAAGAACGACTTCCATGGCTCTGGTTGGTGTGGTTTTATGACTACTGTTATAATGAGACATGCTGTTATTTAAATTTGTTTATTTTGCGAATATCTGTCAATTTTTGGATTTTCGGTACCCAGACAACTGCACCGTATGTAAGTCCATGCGACGACTCTATGGGAGAAACCCAAGGTGAGCCCCACCGTTCGGCGGTATTGTTCATAAGCAATGTATGCTCTTTTTTTTTGTTTTCTAAACGTTAATTTGCTGTCAAAGATGTTATTAAAATAATCTATTTGACATGATGAACATAGTAAGAATTTACTTGAGTATGTGTTTAATTCTTATGAACCAAACGACAAATATTTATTAATTTTCATACGTTTCCCAGTGTATTAATTTCCCTTGCTTTGGTACATACGAAAACTAATTTAGTTTCGCTTCTTGGGTATGTATTCTTTGCTATCGTCTTAATTTTTTTGACAAGTAATGACATTTCTAGATATTTCTGGACTATTCTACCTTCTTTTACTAGTACTTTTACTTATAACGACTGCAGCACACTGTAGGGCGCTAAGTAACATTGAACTTATTTTTGTATTCGTACGTTTCCTATAACAGCCGTAGGCTACTGCAGGGTGCTGCGTAACATTGCTCCCGCCTCTCTAGTTATTCTCCCTAAATAACTTGATTACTGGGACCTGGTTGGAGGCAACGCGGAGGATCTGGACCACGATATAGTGCTAACTTTTCAATGTGAACTACTTTGGGTTTACTTCCCGCTGACAACTGAATGTGGTTTAACAAGTCGTTGATTTTCTTGAGGACGGTGTAGGGGCCTTCCCAGTTCCGTTGCAGTTTCTGACAAAGTCCTTTTCGACGCTTGGGATTGTACAGCTATACTGGATCGCCTCTCTTAAAATGTGTCCCTGTGGCATGCATGTCGATTCTAGCTTTTGCTTTATCGCTACTAACTTTCAAACGTTGCCGATAGAATTCGTATACCTTCTCTAATCTTCCTCTTAATTTCTGTATGCACGTGGAAGGTATACGGCCCTCTTCTTTACCAGGAGGCTGCCTTTCAAAAAGAAGATCATGGGGAAGTTTCATTTCCCTTCCAGTAATCATCATGTTTAGAGTATAACTGGTCGTTTCATGTTCAGAACTTTTCATTATCAGAGACGAACATTGAAAAATACTGGCATATCGTTCTATTGTGTCTTTCTACCATTCCGTCGGACTGTGGGTGGAGAGGTATAGTGCGTGTTTTTCTGATGCCTAACAGTTTCATTAATTCTTGCCATAATTCGGATTCAAAATTTCGTTCTTGGTCAGAATGTAATTCTAGGAGGACTCCGTGTCTCGCAATGACGTTCGTCATAAATACTTCCGCTACGGTTGTCGCTTCCTGATTAGAAATAGGCACTATTTCGGGCCACTTTGAAAAATAGTCTATAACAACAATCAAGTATTTGTTTCCCCTTTCTGTTACGGGAAGTGGTCCGAGGATATCTATGGCGATTCGTTTGAAAGACTTCCCGGTAAAGTAGCGTACCATTTTACCTCGACTTCTTGTTTTGGGCCTTATTCTGCCATTACAAAGGTCACATTCCTTACACCAACCTTCTACATCCCGTTGGCAATTGACCCAATAAAATCTTTTCCGAACTCGTGCAAGTGTTCTTTTAGTACCAAAGTGTCCTATGAAGCTCCTTTAATACACTTCTGACCTGTGATTTCGGCAGTATCACTTGGTGGACTACATGCACTCCATCGAGGCTCTCCCACTTGCGTTGCAATAGGCCATCGTGAAAATACAGTGAATCCCACTGAGTTCAGTACCCTTTAATGGTTCCATTATATTTGGCTACCTCTTGCCATGTAGGTCTGACTTCATTTTTAAGCAATTCTCGGACAACCTCCAAGTCATTGTCTTTTTTTTGAGTCTTTCTTAGGCTTTCAAGGGTAATTTTGTCTTCGTCATCCTCTGTCTTGATAGTGGTTGTCTGAAGACTAACGTCTTTAACCAGCTCTTTAAACCTTTTACAGTACCGGAATTGTCGTTCTAAACACGGTCACCTGGAAAGAATGTCTGCGTTGCTATGGAGACGCCCCCTTCGATGCACTATTTTGAAGTTGTATTATTGCAGTCTTTCTATCCATCTAGCAACTTGTCTTTCAGGTTTTTCCAGCCACTGCAAGGCGCTATGTTCACTTCTAATAAAAAACTTCTCTTAAAAAGGTAAGTCTGGAAGAGTTCAAGGGTTTTGACAATAACTAAAAGTTCTTTTCTTGTGACGCAATAATTCTTCTCAGCTAAAATACGCAGGCTACTGCTGTGTAATAATATATGTTAAAACGGCATAGTATACAGCTACGGTCGAAATGGAATATTCAACATGGACGATATAAGTACCTTATAGTGAATTTAAGTTTAATAGGAACATGCTTGCTCCACACTTCACTCCACAGCGGTGTCTGTTTGAGATGTGCATATTCCTATCACACAGTGTTCAACTTATTTTATGGAATAATTTTCCTATTAAATATTCAATATCTGTATGCTGTCCATCAATGAACTTTAGGAAATTTGCCGTGAAATAAGGAATATTTGTCTGTTGTGAAAATAAAAACAATAATCTCAAAATTAAAAAAATTTAAAAGGTAATACCATAATAACTTCGAATTGCAGCCAGTCTATCAAAATTAAAACGCTTGGGCAACATTGTCATTGTCAACAGATCCCGGTCCTAGTTCGATACCAATTTAATGTGACTAAGTTCTATTAGTATGGCAATTATTTTGTTTTAGGTTATATAGGTTACCGCTTTTGGACATCAGGTACCAATTTAGCAGATAAAAGAAAGTGGGTATGGAGCTCGACAGGCAATGACGTTACTTTCTTTAAATGGGCTCCAGGAGAACCTAACAATGCACTAGAAAACTCAGAAAACTGCTTGGAAGCAGGTTGGTATAAGAATGAACAAGCACTTATATGGAACGATATTAGATGTTCAGGAATAGAATTACAATTTATATGTGAAGCAACTACAGACTGTCACAATTTACACTGTTAATTGTTGTGTATTAATAAAGATTTATATTTACACATCGTTTTAATTCTTGGTAACTTAAAGGAGGATGACGAGGTCCAATTTATGGATTCATCGTATACGTTGTTCCTCTTACCTTTTGTACTATTTTCTAATATGTAATCCAAAAATAAATGTTCCTAAAATAGGCGAGGAAGAAGAATTGTAAGTTCTGACATGCGTGACTTTTCCACGACTTTATTTTCATTTTCTGATATAAACACTTTCTATGGTGCAGAAGTAAACTTATTATTATTGTTGTTTTATCAAATCAGTAGAATAATTATTTCTTATTTACTAAGAAACGGTATGTAGCATGATTAATTAATTACACTCTATTTTACAGTTGATATTTTTTTACTGTTGTATAAACGTCTTTAAATAAACAACTTTTTTAAGTAATTTTTTAAAAAAAACTTAAAAATAAGAAACTTACATTAATTTATTACAAAATATATCCAATACGGTCGTGCCTAACTGAAATAATATGTTCAAAGTTGTCACCATTTACTTCAATATAAACGTACTTCATGCTTTCTCGGTCTTTCTACATGTCGTCCATGATGTTCACGCAAATAATCCGCATTCCTATTCAGTTGAGCCAGATTAATGAAAGTTCAGGGACTAGGATGATCTTGCAAGGTAAGGCGTTAGCTGATCTTTGAAGACACTAGGTATTAATAAGCAACAAATCCACAAGTTCATTGTTATCATAATTTACCATATTGAATAATTAAAATTCACTATTACAGATAAACACGCTACTGAAATCACACGCGACTGAATGGAGTCGTTTTAATTGTTCAGAATCGTAGTAATCACGTCAAAAATGTATTACTGTTCCCAAAAGAACGTCCAACATCTTCGTTTTCCTTTTCCAGAAAAGGGCAGAGGTGGTGTCGCAACCAGTGAAAACAAACAAATTCTATTTCAAGGAAATGAGATTTTTCCTCTAATTAATAATGGTAATTAGAACTGCTGACAAACTGCTTCATCCCACAATCTGTTCCATCCCTTCCACTTTTCTGGAAGAAAATATATTGTATACTGGAGCTCAATCCATTAAGCAGCACCAAGACGTCGATATCGTCCCCAGCTATTATTACGTGCTTATACTCCTTACTCTTCTCCAATGTTGTCATTAAGACAGTCAACGACCTCTGGGGCTTGCTTGGTTTCGATCTCTTGGCTATCCAGTCCAGTGCAGATAAAGTTGATCAAGCGCTGCTTGTTTTTTGGGTTAGTTAATAACATTTCTTGGGGCTACATCCTGAAGCTGCATAAAGACGCAGTCTCTTACCTTCTTTTGTGGTCTTAGCAGCTCCCTCTTCTGGGTAGCCGTCAACTAGAACTGACACATTTTTACACTGATTGAACCTGTGGATAATGTATGCAACCACTTTTCCCTTACTGCGATGTTCCGATAATAATTAAATTAAAGAAAAATAACTGCTCTACAAAAACCACCACGCACTTAGCACAGGTCTGTCGAAGCTCTGGTTTTACACTATTGGTATCTATTCTAATAAAATTTCAAAAAACTGTGCAATTTTATGCGACCTACAATAATTTAAACGACCGACCTACTAGATATTAACAGGTTGTTACTCTTTCTAGTATAACGCAAAATTATGTATATTGTTTAATTTAATTACTTACCGCCTTTTAAAGAAATTAATATAAAAATCGAAAATGAAACTATTATTATAAAATCTACAAATAAAATAAAGTATTTGGGAATATATATCGACTCACATCTGCGATGGGAAGAACAGATTAACTATATTATAAAAATGCTAAGATTCGTCTTATATAAATTTAGAAACCTTTCCACTTTCCTCCATGTGAGATATTTAAAAATCCTTTACTATGCATTAGTTGAAAGTCATTTCTCATACGGTATAATAGCATGGGGTGTAGCAGGTGCCACTTTAATTAATAACTTGCAGAAAATACAAAAAAGTATATTAAAAACAATATTTCACCGACCTAGAACTCACCCAACAATAGATCTTTATCAAGAAGCTGGAGTATTAGATATTTATCAGTTATTTGCAAAAATTATTATTACAAAACAACGTAAAGACAAACACACTTTACTATCAGTAAGTCATGACCACGCAACTCGATATAAATTAAATAATGTTGTAATACCTAAAGCCAAAAAAACTATAGGGCAAAAAAGTTATGCTTACCTGGGTCCCAAATTATATAATGAAATACCGTTAGAATTAAAGAGCATTTATTCCCTAAATCTATTCAAAGTAAAAATAAAAAAATGGATATATTCTATCCCTACTGCGAATCTGCAACGTTTTATTTCAACAAATAACGAATGTTATAGTCTGGTTTACTAGTTCAATTTAATAATTTGTCTAGAAAAAAAAAATAGTTAGTATTACGTAACTGTTTTTCATATTATTCCAAATATTATTTTTGTATAATTTTTCATTTTTTTATAATATAGTAATATTGTGTTTTATTAAGACTGCTCGTCCTAAATAACCAATAATAACCCATGCTCAAGGATTCTTTTTGTGGGTGTTTCTGTTTATTTATCTCGAACGAACTTGATATACATTATACATTGTTTTTATATTATTTTTGGTAAATAAATTATTATTATTATTATTATTATTATATCCATAGTTATTGTTTCCGTAATGCTTTATTCACTTTTCATTTATGACTTATGTACCTACTTATGTTGGCTTCATTGATGTTTTTAGAAAAATAATGAATTGAAAGACATCCATTAATTTTAGGCCATCCCAAAAACATTGTATGTTGGGGAATAAAAGGCCTGTTACTCTCCAATTCTAATAACGATTTAACTTTTATAATTAAAAGGTAGGCATATATAGATCAATATGACCGACAATCGGGCCGTAGTCAATTAGCCATCAAATCCTGTTAATATTTTTCCTTTAATGTTTAGAAATAAATATACATATTGGTAATTAATAGCATATTGATGGGAAGTTAACTGGAAATCGCAGGCCTTTTACCATATTAGTACTGATTGCTGAATAAAGGCCATGTGTCAGGCACATGACCAGACAGGCGATTCGATAATGCTTCTTTGAAAAGTAGTACCGTTTAAACTATGAATTCTATACAAAAACAGAAAGCATGCCAATATAGAATATTGTAAACATTTTATTCATTTCAGTTATATAATATAATAATAGAGAAAAAAGGTCTTCTACAAAAAGACTATTTATAATATTATTCTAAATTAACAACATGTAAAAGTAGGAAATTACAATGAATACTGAATAGTGAATACCGGCAATCCAAGACTGGCCGGATAGTATACATTTTCAAAAGTATGTAGCAAGCTATCATAGGTGTCTACATCTATGAACACGAGGTAGACCCCTAATAAACTCTTCGGGTTGGGTCTTCGGCAGTTAAAATCCTTTTGACTTTTAACATACTTTTACTCAATATACAGTTACTTACCCTTCATAAGGCCATCATCAACCAACATAATGTTGGACCACAAAAGACCAAAAGTAGGCTTTTATGTCGCACTCATTTTCCCTTCAATTACAGCAAAAGGCCAGCAAACTCCCAGCAATTCATTGCTTGTTGGGCCCTTATAGTATTTTCTAGATAGGTAAACATTTATAACAAATTTTGCTTAAACACATGATAAATAAATATATGGAAGCACAAAAAAAAACGAAATACGGAAACACTATTATTATTATTATTATGCTAATTATAAATCAAAAAAAAACAAATTAAAGAAACGAAAAATATGCCATCTCGCCACAAGGCTAACACTATTGTAAAAATTGTATATTTATGTATGTAAACAAACAAGTCGCCTACTCATACAGAATGTAAAAAAGATGTACAGTAAATTTAACCACAGTTACTGAGTTCGAAAATAAGTCAATTTAAGCTAACTTGCTCATATATAAAATTCTCATATGTCCAACACATGACTTTCTTGTCTAGTTATTATTACAGGCTTTTTCGGTTATTTTGTACAACCTATTGAATCACCCCTGTAAATGTTTAAAGGATGAACTAAATACATACATTTTCCACACACATCTTAATCGAAACATTTTTTTATATATAGTACTTGGGGGGGGGGGAGGGTAAAGGGGTATAGTCCTAAATCAACAATTATGGTAAACTGATTTAAAAGTTTTAATATTCGTGTTTTTTAAATATCCAAATTGTGTAAGGCTTAAATTACTTATATCCCTTTTTCTAGGGGTACATAATGGATCTTTTGTAAATTTTGATTATGTCAAACAGTTTTTGAAATATTTTCAAAAAACCAAACGATATTGTTTATACCTTTTGCAATTTTTGTCGTCCCCTAGTGTCCACTTTTGAGATGCCATTTTGAATCGAATGAGACCAAAATCATAATTTTCGGTGGTCCAGCCTAGGTTTATGACGAAATGGTACTTATGAACCAGACTACCTGTTGAGGGTGGGTTGCCCTATGGCACTTTGATGTAGTTGACCATTAAAAATGCAACAGTATATTACACATGTCGATGGCTTAATCAAAAACCGCCACAAGTCATAAAACAAAAAAATGACATTTTTGGTCCAATGGATGCAAAATATCATTAAGGGTTTACTTTAAATACCGCCACAAATAAAAATATCCTTAAATATGCCCAAAAATTATTTAAAATCTAGTCACAGACTGTGTCTAAAACTACCTCAATTCGAGTTATTTTCTGCAAAAACACCTAAATTTTATAAAAACTATGCAATAACCCGCTTTTATAATCGTAATCGTTAATTTTAACAGCAAAATATCAAAGATTTTAAATAAAATATAAAGATTTTATGTCAAAAACAAAATAATGATAATAGAATCTTACAAATTTCAAAATGAAATTTCTCGAAACAATAGTTTTTGAGTCATCATTGAGCCATCGATGTGTGATTATTATTTTTGTTTTTATTTATACGTACGATACTTAATATCTCGATTTGATAAAACCAGTATTTCAAGGATATTAAACGAACAGTCTTCATTTAGAATTAGTTACTAATAACACTTCAAATGAAATCAACACGATTTCATTGATCCGAAGTGATTGTAAATTATGCGATGGCGATAAAAACTTTATTGGTATTTTTTATTCTAACTTTATTTTATTCATTTGTCATCAATGACACAAGTGAAACAAATGAATTTGTATCGCCTGTATTAAAAACTAGGCGTCCGTTTAATCGTTTCTCATTTAGCGGCAAATCTTACTACGTCAACAACGTGGTTAAGGTAAGAATATTACTTTACCTATTTCTTTCCACTTCTATTTATTTAATAATATTTTATTATTTTTTTAGGGAAATTTTTTTCTGGCTTGGCAATTTTGTAGACAGCAAGATATGCACGTGTTAAGTATAAAGAGTCAGGAAGAATCAGATAAGATTGCAGCGTTCCTTAGGAATAATGGTAAGATTAAAATAAAGAATGTTGCATGACGTACTGTAAAAACTTAAATATCATATTCTTGGGCTCATTCATTTCAAACAAAAAAATGTGGAATGTACAATGTACAAATATGCAATTCTCCATGATTACCAAGTTACAAGCGTTCAAAGTTCAGAAGATAAATTGGTGGTTCAATAAAACCATGAGGCTACAGTGTCTCCATCAGTGGCGATTTGCCCGTAAGGGCACTTGGGCACGTGCCCTAGTATAATAAACAAAAAAAAAAAAACTTACATATTTTATATTTTCCTCAATGCCTATTATTATTTTATCTAATATTCAGCGCAAACCGCATTGGCACGACACTGGACGACCGGGCGTTGAGCGACATTCCAAGAATTCCGAAATTAAGTGGAAGGTAGGCACAGTAAATGTGTACCTCTGTTGTTTTCTCTCTCATTATGATGCGAAAAACAAGGACAACGACAATATCTCTTAGCAAGAGATGAACACATGCGATGGATTATACGTCACAAGCAGGGCGCTGTCCCACATACTTTGATTTTCTCTTACGCGCTGTCCTCATTGTGACGTGCTGTACCCATGGCACAGATTATCTAGACCCACATACTTTGATTACATCGAAGTATGTGCCTAGACCAGATACGAATGTACGCAGCGGCATCTTTACCGGCCATGCCGGTTTCGGCTAAAGGTGCGCGTTTGTTGGACCATGATAATAATTTATTTATTGTGATTACGAAAAAATGTTAGTTGGACCATTGGAATAGTAAAGAAATAAAACTACAAAGAAAAATAACTTTTTTTTTAAAGCAGTCAAAAATATGATGAAAAAAAATCAATAATAATTATAAATGGGACAAAATTTTTCGAGGATTTCAAATCTGTTTGTATAAAAAATTCTGAGTCTTATAAATAATTTAATGGTGTACATTTTCGCAAATTGTTGGCAATGATGACCAAATTCTATTTTGCTCATCTCAAGAAGGTATGCGTTGGAAATTCTAGACTTAGTTGACAAACTATCAAATAGAGATATAAATATTTTTTCTAATTTGAAAATATAAAAGAGAAATTTTTCGCTGGGAGATTTTAAATTGACAAACACCTTTTCTTTAGAGTAGTATACTTTAAAATGCGTTAACAAGTTAGAATTGTTAAGTAAATTGCATTCTTCTGAGAAATTTACGTAAATTTCGCAAGAGTGAATATGTAATGATTTTTTGATTAAACAGCCACATACATAGTTAAATGCATTTTGAGTGGTTACATTTAGCTCCCTGTAGTCACATTCAGAAATCGTTATTGCCCCCAACTGATTGTTTTGAAATATATTTAAATTTCATTAAGCGGAGAACTTGTTTTCCTAAGGGAAAAATGAATGCCGGGATTCCTTTCCAGTGTGTGCCCCACAGCCGCTAGTGCCCACACGCCACCACACGCCACCACTGGTATCCATGCTAAAATACTAAAGGGGACTATGGACCATTCAAGGCGGGGAATTTAGAAAAATCAAGAGTCGCGTAAAGGAATTCCCGAAAGGGTAAAAAAAAGAAGTAAAACCTTCCTAGCAGTTCTATAATATAACTGGCAATCCGCAGTCAAAAAATAATATAACTAATCTAGATAAAAAACCTAAAATCATAAGGATGTTTTATTCAGGATGAACCAATGATAACTTGACTTCAAAAACTCAAAGGAATTTTTTAAAATTTAAAAAACGTTTCAACGTCTATTGGCAAGGATACATACAAATAGTCACATAAAATTTATACCCAGAAATCCAACCCCCTGGAACCCGGTCGCAACCCTTTATTTTGTTTTGTTTAAATAGCAAGTTTGGTCAAGTTACACATCATTTGAAAGGTATGTTTGTATGAAGAGTTCAACAATATGACTATTAATTGCGTTGATTGTGATTTTAGCGCCTTGTAACGCGATAAAAACTGTTACGTATTGTAAAATGTGATACTTCATTTGAAAGCTAAAGTTTGTATTTCTCAACCTTACAGCTCCCAACTATTTTTCATTTCATTTAATTATGTTTTGTTATGTTGTGCATTTAAATAATAATAAAATTGGCATTGAAATGAAGTGTTACACTTTACAATAGAGTTTTTTATTCTGATAGAGTGACAGAGAGCGCTAAAATCAAAAGTAACGTAATAATAATATTGCTAAATCCTCCATTAAATCTCCGTTTCATTGATGTGACCTATTTGGTACTTCAGGTATTTAAATGGTACTGGTTAGAATGACAGTTGAGAATATAATGGAACGATGTCGCCTTTTAATCGTCCGAGACTTTCTCTAAAATATTGACGCAGTTTTTGATAATAGCCAACCATATCTCAGGGTTAAGTGTTAATTAATTAAAAAAAAACTAATAATGCAATATAATGTAGTTTAATATAGGGTGACCCAATTAAAACAGTCCACCCCGAGACAGGTCGATTTTACTTTTGATCTTTAATTCATGAATGTATGATCATCCTTCCAATGTGATGTAATTTTTTGTTCTGCGTTAAAATTAATGTTAAAGACCTAAAAAAAATGTTCACGTAAGTTTTAATAAATCAAGTGTTCAAATTGCGACCCATTTACTTACATACAGTAATAACATCTTTTTCACATCCATGAATTAAATATGTCCCTCTTAAAAGCAAAATTTGCACTGTTTTATTTGGGCCACTCGTATGTAATTCTTCAGTATATTATTTTAATTATTTTTAATAGATTTGAACAAGGATCGCTATTGGACATCAGGCACCAATCTTGGTGATGAAAATGCTCCCTGGATGTGGCTATCAACGGGAAAAAAATTATCGTACACAAATTGGGACTCACGTCAACCTAATAATTTAAATGAAACTGAGAATTGCATAGAAGCTCGATTTTCGGAAAACAACGATTTCAAATGGAACGATGAAGACTGTTGGACTGAACTATATGTCATTTGTGAAAGTGTACCAGATTGTAAAACATAGATTTTTTTAAAAATTTGTGATTGTTTTTTTTATTACATACCTTTTAAAAAAAAATCCTTTAATGTATGATATACTTAAGAGTTTTGTTTTTATATTTGTATTTTAAGATGTCTCGTTAATTTGTAATATAATTCGTTTTTTGAAATATTAGTTATAATTAACGTTTATTTACCTTTTGTAAATTTTGACTTAAATATTTTATACCAAACACTACTTACCCTTAATCAAATCAGAAAATGTCAGTCGTGAATTCAGGCTTTTCTAATAGACAATTTTGGGGAAATAGTTTTCAGGAAAGAAAGGGCGCCGATAATTCTCTTTATTTTTATTTTTTTAACCTAGTTAGGAATTAAAAAGTCTAGCTTTATCAAAAAGACCATAAATTAAAATTATATAAAATTTGTTTATTTTCAAAGTGTGGAAATGCAATTTTGACAGTGAATAACTATACCTAAATTTTCATGAACATAAATGATTTTATTTTCTGGTACCAACACTACATTATAAACTCTATCGTACGGTGATTTTAGATTTTAACCTTGTGAATTATTTTACAATAATAATCGTATAAATAGCACCTGATTATCTGTTGCAGCAGTAGTCCTCATAGATTGTATATGCTCAACGAGCCCAAACGCTTACCTCTGCTTTCAGGTAAATCGATAACTGTCTGATTGTAAAAATGTGGTTATCTATTTTTACATTCAAATATTGAACTGCTTTTTAAAATAAATTTCTAGTAAAGATTTGGCATCGATTAAATTTCAAATTTTTCGAATACTTTTTTTATCCAGTATGCCACTTGGTACACCTGGTTCGTACAAACGAACACACATGCACTCATATCTTACTTCATCATTGTCAAGCAATAAACCAGTATCATCCCAGCTGTCGTATCATTCAGACCTGTCCTCGATCCCTTTATATGGCGCAGACAGTAAAAGTTAAAAAGTGAGGTCAAAAAAAAGCAGAAAAAATTTCGCCATCTTGCAAAATTGAAAAATAAAAGTGAAAAATGGACTTTAGAGGTCTACCTCCACTTAAAACGCCAAGTAATCTAGCGAATAGACTGAATATTTTGGCGGCAGAGATTTGAAACGTACCTTCTCGCTACAGAGATACCTAAAAAAGATGAGGTGTTGTAATGTACCCAGCTTCTGACGTTGGTAGGGGAAGAAGAAATGAGGATATTTAACACATTCTCGATCGAAAAGGCCGATAAAAACAATATAAAACCGTTATTGGAAATATTTGAAGCTTATTTTAACCCAAAAAGAAATCTGACTTTCATGAGACACAAGTTCTTATACAAACAACAACCATCGAACAGTTTATAACAGAATTAAAAAACTTGGCTCTAAGTTGTGAATTTGGAAACTTAAAAGACATTTTGATTTATGGACTTAATTGTGAGACGATGAGGCAAAAATTATTAGAGGTGGACCACGAAACTCTAGAAAAAGTAGTGAAGGTGTGCATTAATGTAGAAAAACACGACAAAATAACAAAGAAATTTTAAATAAAAAATCACAGGAGAATGGGATAGATGCTATTCGTAGGGTGAAAAACGAGGAGAGAGTCCAAAAATCAGTCACTTGCCAGAAGTGTGGCAAAAAACATGAGTTTGGTAGATGTCCAGCCTTTGGTAAGCGGTGTATTGAATGCGGTCAGCTCAATCACTTCAGTGTGCAGTGAAGAAAGAAGGAAGAAGCTAGAGGTAGTAATTTTAAAAGAGACAAAATAAATTATTTTAATTTTGATAAAAGAATTATTGTCCAGCACATAGACAGAGAGTTAGCATTAGAAAATGTGGAATACAAGTTTTCAAACAGTGCAGATAATGTAAATAATGATTTTCTCTTTATATGATCAATAGAAAATTATGAAGTGGCAAATATCAGCAGTAATGTAGAATCATGGGTTGCAGAAATATATATTAAAACCCTAGGTATCATTAAAATGAAATTAGATACAGGTGCAATGGCTAATATCATTCCTTGGAGAGTTGTACTCGCTCAATACAAGCCTTTGAGAGCCATCCCCTCCTAAACTCGATTTCACCCATCAGAGCCTACCTTTGGGACCATGGCACTCTTTGGATTGAAAACTTTTTTGTTCTCTATTTTGTCTCTTTCAACCATTAGTACGCTTGCTGAGTGATTTAGAAATTTTAGGACTAAACATCAGAATCACCTCTAGGGACCGCGGGTTCAGTTGTGCCATCTTGGGTTCTCTGAAAAAAGTTCTGCAGAGCCCGGGCTGGCACATCAGAATCACGCGAGTGATATTTTTGTTTTGTCTTGACATCAAAAGGATCATTAAAAATTTAAAATTAAAAATAAAAATATCATTTCATATTAAACATTTGTTTAAATTTAACTAACAATAAATCAAACCTTTAAATTCAATACTAACAAATTTTGATCTCCGTTAACCACCTCCAATCACTCGAATCACACTTGGAGAAACATGTTCCACACTGAGGTGAACGCACCTCCTCTCTTGACATTTGACAGGTCAACGTCTTTAAGTGTCGCCTTGTCACCACTGTCATGTGGACACGGTTAAACAACTTGAATAAAAATAAAAATGAATATATAAAGAAATTTAAATTTTAAAATATTACTCTTAGTAATAATATGATTTAGCAAGTTGTAAATATCCGGAAATATCTAATTTTGGGAGTGAGGATGACCAGGAACTTGTTGGATACGTTGTGGACAGTATGTAAACTTTTTTATATTATAATGTATATAAAAAAAACCTTCAGTTTTTTACTTTGTCCTTCTGCGTTTAACCTTTTTCATATTAACTGTTTTATTCTAGGTTCAAATTTAAATATATTTTTCACATTTGTAAATTTTCTTTAAATTTTAACTAATTTGTTAACTTGTTTTCAATTGTACTCAATGCGAATAGTGAAGGTGGTATAATTCCTTAATTCCGCACAAGCTAACTTTCTTCTGGAGATCAGATATGATTTGTAAGGGCTTATCCCACACTCACTATTCCCAATACTGGGTTCTGTCACTTTGTTTGTTATCTTTTAATTGTTAATTTGTTCAAATAACCGTATATATACAATTTTAACTCTTGACTTAAAAGTCTTACTCAGATTTTATATTTTTTTTTTTAATTTTAAGTTTACATCCACAATTTTTGTAGATAAGCACTGATGATGGCAAATAAGCCGAAAGCGCTTTTCTTTATTAATTAAAAAGTTTTGAACGAAATAATAGTTTAGGTTTTAAAACTTTTTCTCAAAAGTGGAATTTTAAACATACTACATCATCACCTAGATATCCACAATCAAACGGTGAAGTTGAAAGAACAATTCAAACAATTAAAGCAACAATAAAGAAATTTTATTTTGATGGATTAGATCCTTATCTAGCTTTTTTGTCGTTAAGGAATACACCTTTAAACGGATCGTATACACCTGCACATGTTTTGTATAACAGAAATTTGAGAGATAATTTGCCAAATCCAGACAATTTTTATAAATGTAATTTTAATATGACTAAATACAATAAATTTGTTGATGTGTCACAACAAAATCATAAATTTTATTATGACAAAAAGGACGTAAAAAATAGACCTGATTTTCAAAAACAGACAAAAGTTTTGGTTAAGAAAACTTTAAATAACAGGTGGCATTCTGCTACTGTACTAAAATCCTACACTTCCTTGAGAAAATAGGATTGGAAGGGTCGCTATAGGCATTGAGACATTTCCTTAGTGCAGTGGCGACAGAAGGGGGCACAATAGATCTTTTAGGTCGCAGTGTATTAACACCCCATTATCAACATAACATACTGTACTAAAACGAGTACGGATTCGTACCTATAAAGTTAAGTTACAAGATGGTAGAGTATTAATAAGAAATAGTAAATTTATAAGAATATACAATGAAAGCACACCACCATTTTACAACCAACCAAACAATGTAATAAAAAGTTGTTTAGATAATGATAAGGATAATTATATGTATATAGAGACATTGCCTAGTGCTAGTGACTGTGACCAGCCTGCAGAAAGGAAAGAAAATAATAGTAAAAGTGATAGTTCAAATCAGTCAGAAAATAGCTTCCAAAGCCTGGAACTAAATGAAAGTTATGAAAATCATATTGTAATAGGAAGTAGTTCGGGTAAACAAAAAACAGGAATTGTAAACATATTACATAATGTAGAAAATAAAAATACAGAACAATGTTCTTATAAAGTTAGTGATTTTGACCCACAGTCAATAACAACTAAGTCTGGGAGATGTAGTAAAAAGCTAAAATCATTTCAAAGCTTTTATTCTTTTAATTAATGTACGAGTATGGTCATGATAATAGGTATAAGAATGTAATTATTGTAATTTTTTAATTGTACATTACAATTATGTTATTGTCAAGTAGATATATCTAAAAAGGAGATATGTAATTAAATTTAAAAATATTAAAAATTTAGCTTACCCTAACATTAATCATATAATCATTTTTACATAAATACCTATATCTTTCCCTTTCTGGAAAAACATTTGCCAAGAGTAGTTCAAAAATATTCACTACCTAATTATGTAGATAATTTTGGTTAAATCAATCAATACATTAGATTTACAATTAGTCAACACTCTTAATATAAGTGGGATTTAAACTGTACAGGCTATACGACGCACTGATTGAAATGTCAGCTCACGGTTCGTAGACAACACGGTGGCCTCATCACAATGTGACGTCACGGAATGAAAACGTGAGTTGACAGAAAAATATTCTACTTGGGATCAGTTTTTTAAAATATTTAATATTTTATTGTTATTTAGTGGTGTTTATATTTTTATTTTTGAACTTTGTTCTGGTGTAATATCGGTAATTGAATTATAAAGTGAAATATTATTATATGAATGGTTTATTTTAAACATTTTGAGTTAGGGTACGGCCTCCGACCTGAATTCAGATAACACTTTGCTTATATCCCGAAATATTTTGAAATTTTGGCAAGCCTGGAGCGAGCCGTAGTCGTCTGTAGTAGTGTTGCTGTTGCCAAACAATTTTTAATTATTACTTACAAAAATCGTTAGAAGAACTAAAGGGACTAAGCCGAAACTGAAATTACAGGCTAATGGTAAGAGTATTATTCTGAAAATATCATTCACTA